TAAGCAAAACAAAAGAAGGAAGCTTAGGTAAAATGGAGTTATGTTTAAGCTTAAGCATCTAAAGAAGAAAGACTTGACATAAGCAATGCTCATCATAGACAAGTGTGAAGTAGTTATGAACAGTTATAAAATTATGTAGTATATAAGTAACACTTAGATGTGTTGGAAAAGAACTCACACTCATTGTTGTATGCATTTGTATTTATTTAACCATATTTTCTCCTGCCTATGACTATTTGTGTAAAGTAGAGTTGACAGAGTGACATATGCTTATCCTTATTCACACATTTGGGGTTTAAGGTTGAGTTATTTTTTATTCTCTTATCATTCTTCTTCTTTTATTCTCTTCTCTACTTTGTTGTTTCTATTTATTTATTACTATTTTGCAGGCAAAGGCAAGAATGTGAGTATAGGCAAAATAAAGCCTTACTCACCTTCCAATTCTCAAAGTTGGAATAATATGGCTGTCAATATAATGGGTTCTTTAGTGCATTATAAGAGCTCTCAATGAAGGATATTCAAAGTTGATAGAATCAAGAAATTGTAGCCTCTAACTTTCTTTTTAAAAGTATTTTAAACACCTGACAATTGATATAGTCTTGACCAAATCATTCCATATGACCTAAGCTCTCAATCCCTAACTTGTTTTAACTGATAGTAAAAGAAATATATAATATTGCAATACCAACTATGACTCATTGATGGTGATCTCAATATCTACTATGCTAGCATTGATGTCTAAGAACCCTAGCAAGATACTACAGTTTGGACCAATTACGAGAAGTTGGACTTGACCTTGCTTGGCCTAGAGTTCATTGTTCTCTAGAGCCATCAAAATATTGGTAAAGATCCAATCCACTTATTTCAGACCTTTCAATTTTATACCTAGAATCATTGGTGATAGAAGTTGGAAGATCTTTGAAAGATATTGTTGATATTTTGTCTATAAACAAATGTAATTATGCTCATTTTTAGCTATAAAGGAAAATGCAATGAAGAGAAGTAGAAAAAAAAAGAAGGAAAAGTACTTTTTAAAGAAGTGAGGCCTCTTTCCATCAACTTGGGTAAAAATCAATTTTATTGTCAAGAACAATGCCTAGCCCACTAGATTAAACTTTTGAGAAATGTCTTGAGTCCATTAATAAACAAAATTATATATTATAATAAAATTATTTAAAAGAAAATCAAACTAAGCATTTCTATAATGCAAAACATAGCAAAATTTATTTATTTTACCAGATATTACCTTTTAGTTTTTCTGGAATCAAAGAACTTATAGCAAATAAAGTTTAATTTAACCACTTGCCTAGTGGAATATCCCAGCTAGCTATCTCTTTTAGCATGTTCTCTTTCTAACACATAAAGATAAATTCCCCCTAGATCTCTTCTTTAAACATTTGAAAAGGGATTCTTCCTAAATAATTGTTAAGCTTCTTTCTTTTATTTACTTACTCTCATATCCTCTAAGCTCTCCTTTTCTCATTTTTTAACAAGATAATCCTTTATAGTAGCACCATCAACAATGGCAATACTGTCGCGAATGTGATAAAGGAACCAAAGTTGCTCAAGCAAGCATCAGCAACATCCTACCGATATTTCAAACCCAAGAGACCAATTCAAAGCAAACTACAAAGAATATATGGCAATGCAAAAAGCCAAAAACTATCAAAAAGAACAACTAACTATCATAAAAGATCATCAATCATCCTATCAATAAGAGATGCATAATTATTATTGAAGAAAAGAATCCACCATCCTAAAGAACAGTAAATCATTCTAAATCAACAATAATCAAGTAAAACTTTTGACAAAAGTAATCAACTATTCTAGATGATAGTCAATCATTATCAATGATAGTTAGATGCAAAAGTTAACTTTAATATTGAAACTAATAAACCAAAATGCCTTTCCTATCAACTTTAAATAAATGAACCACAAGCATGAAAACTCAAGGAACCAAAAACTCAAAAAAGTCTATAGCTAAGTCTTGCTTAATAATGATCATGAGTTTCACATGAACTTACTTCAATGCTAAAAAAAAAATCATGGTATAATGTACAATATTTTTTGTAACACATCCATAAAAGATTTGGACTATTGTGATTTTAATCATATTTTTCCATTTAACAAAGAAAATCATGTTTAGGTGGAGAAGTTCTTTATTGAATTGAAAAACAAAAATATGCTATAATTATATCAAACCATGCATCATGTGAATAAGTAAGCTCTTTTTTATTTTTTAGTTTTGAATGGTATTCTCATGAATTTTTTTGCAATATCAATAAACATGGTGTTTAAGTAAGTGGCCTCCTAAAAAATTTTTATGGCATTTATCTACTATAATAGCAAAGATCAAAACACTTTTTATAGCATTTATCTGCTACAACAACAAAGATATCATAGAAGAAAAATTTAACAATAACTTAAGGGATGAATCAATTGTGATTCACAAGATGAAATGAAGGGTAAAAGAAGAACTATTTAATACCTTTTGACACATTGGTTTATTGTCAAGCTCTTTTTTCTGGTATACGGTTTCAATATTTTTTTGTAGTTGATTTGTTTTAATTTATTTAATTTTTCTAAATAAAATAATTTTGAAAATAACATTCTCAAAGTTATGGAGAAAACTAAATATGTCCACTAAATAAACAAAAAGGTTGACTATCTAGAAAGTCTGTAATCAATATGATATACTCTTTGGAAGTATCTATTATGTTTAATAAAGTGCACATTAGGAAAATCTAAATAAATATAGTGACTACTTTTAATTTTATCACTTTGCAAATTTCCCTAAGAGGTGCATAAGAAATAGTTAATGGACCTTTTAGAATAGCCAAACAAATGGAAGAATTGAGGAGTTTTTAAAGATAATAATATTTTTCATCTTTGGTGTAAGAGGTAAGTTTGGATCACCAAGATTTTAGAATTTGCTTAAATGAGGTAAAAAAATATTTCCTTAAGGGTTAATATACTATCAACATATGTAAAATGGTAAATACAGATAATAATGGTGTTTTGGATATGAGATTCATGAATCAAACCTCTAAGTGATTTGTATTCAAGTAAACTTTTTCATTTTATAATTATTTGGTACTAAATGGCATTTTCTCTCTTTTTTTGCATTTTCAACTTCTTTATTTTATTTATTTATATAGCATTTAGTCCCAATTAATGTATCATATACTTGTATAGAGTTTTTTTTATATGCTTTTTTTATCCCATATATATATATATATATATATATATATATATATATATATATATCTCAAAAGCCTTTTTTGCTAAATCCCACAAAGTAAATAGTAAACTATTTGATATCAATGATTTATCTAACTTCTTTGTTAAAGAAAAACTATTCAGTTTAGAATAATTTCTCTCCACTTTTTTACGGAGAGAAACTTTCATTTCATCCCCACAAGAATATTATTCAAATTATAAAATCATATGTGATGCCTTGATTAAATCTTAAATGACTGTATAAAGTTCATGAGTTCATGAAAATTGATTTCAAACAAGGGATGGGTAAACATGACTTAGAGATAAATATAAAAGTAAAAGATATAAAGAAAATGCTAGCAAAAATGGCAATGAAAGGGAATAAGAATATATCAAGGAAGGATAAAGAAATAGATTTGCTAAAAGCCTTTAATATTACACAAAAAAATAAATAGGAAAAAGATGGATTAAGCAATTTGATGTAAATCACATCTTTAACAAGTAAATACGAAGTGATGAAATTTGGGATTAGTGAATTTTTCCAAATAGTAACATGAAGTGGGAAGTGATCAAGTTCCTTAAGATGACAAGGACTAAATTTTTTAAAAAGAATAACTTACAAAATTATAAAGCAAACATTGTACTTTGCATGCTACTTTATACCTACTTTACCGAAAAAAGTAAAATTAAGGATTGGTAAGTGTGCATACATGACCTTATTAACCACTTAGTAGCTATGACAAAGAACATGGTTGATGACGACAAATGGATCATAATTTTTCATGCAAGCCATTAATTGCCAATAGTCTACAAAAAGTATCACTAGCAGTGTGTGCAAATCCATTGATTATACATAATTCTGAATATATCTATTTGGCTACAAAATTTATGGACTTAGCAAAACAAAGGTTTGCAATTTAATAATATAGCAAAAATCAATATAGAAATAAAAAATGAAAATGTCATTACCTACACCAAAGGCTTCAATTTCAAGATTTTCTACAACAGCCTTTCACTATTGGGACTTTAATGACAATTACTTTGAATCTATTGAGGAAAACATGGAGCCATTTTATGACAATGACACCAACATAGTCAGCAGGTTAAAAATAAATCCAAACTTCCTTTTTCATAAACTAATTGAAGTTAAAATAGTATATTATATAGATAAAAACAACTAATCATTCTAATATTTAGGGTAAACCATTTTAAATTGTAAATAATCATGCAACATATAAAAGTAATAATGTTTTTAGCAGAGATTGTTAAAAATTTTAACCATTTTAAAGAGTTGTGCAACTACTTTATTTTAATTTCACTTTGTTCCTCAAAAACTGGATTCTTTACGAGTTAGAATGTTGTGAAAGAAGAAGTAGTTTTGTTTTATTTCATTTTTTAGTACATTTTATCATATTTTAACCCTGTAAAAGAAAGCATCAAAGGCAATAATATCTTTATTTTGAGCATTACGGCTGATTACAATATTGGTTAGCTTCTTCTACAAGAAGTAGTTGGACTTTCTTCTGCAATGTTAGAATATCACACCCGAGTAAGATTATAAAATCAACTGTTGGAGAGATCACACCTTCTGCTTATCTTTTTCTCTTAAAAGCACAATGGTGGCAACAAGCAGCCACAGACATGAACAAAACGTTGTGAACCTGGACACCTTTGTGGTACCTAGAGCTTTTTTAGAAATGCTAGAACCGAGGACTTGATCTCAATAACTTTGAAACGCAATTAAGAAAATCTTGGCATATTATTTTATTGTTTTTGGAAGTTCAGAATGGTTGAGAGAGAAGTCTGTGTATATGGCCATCCATGGATAATTCTCGACGTGCTGCTACCATGAAATTCGCGAGGCGAGCTCCATTCAGAAAGAGATGCTTGCACGCTGATGGAAGATTGTCGTCACAACACAGTGATTCACGCAAAAGCTCCCTCATCAGCTCCTCTGAGAGCTCTCTGATGTAAACCACGGCACTCTCCTTGGAAGTTCCAGGTTTTTCTTCAAGATAAATGCTCACGCTGTTCAATCGACTGTCATCGTCCTGGAAGAAAAAGTCCTGTAAGTCTTGTTCCAAAGTTATAGCCGAGTTCATCACAGTGCAGAGCTTTGAAAACTGGTAGAGCTTTCCAGCTGCGAGCTTCTCTTTGACGAAATACATCGTGCTATAAACCGCAGGTTCGACGTCCGACTTTGACGCTTTTAAATGGTCTTCGAGTGTTGGACGTTTTTTGGAAACCCGCCACCTCGTTTTCTCTAGCAGGCTGGACAACCAGTTGCTCCACTGCAGGAAAGTAAGAGCAAAATTTTTCAAACTCATCAAGATAAACAAAAGAATAACTTACAATCCTTCTTAGCTCGTTGTTCACACTTCGGCCTTGAAAATTGAGGCATTGCTTGCTCTGGCTCTCGACTTCCAGAAAGATCTCAATAAATAGCAGCTTGACGTCGTCCGAGGAGTCTTCCATAGAGCTGGGATCCCATCTACAGCATCACAACGAAAAGTATCATTAGAGAACAATGCACATATTCGATATAATTTACCTTTGGACACCATTTAAGAGGTCTTGGAGATCAACTATGGAACTTTCCCTCCGAAAGTATTCCGCTATAACGCTTGCTATAAACGAACACTTCGACCACACAACCCTTGCAGTCGCTAGCTCTGGTTCAAAGATTATCGCTGCTGCTCCAAAAAACGATTGCTCGAGGTCTCTGTGATAGCATCCAAATTTTCGGAAGCTACTTTCAGCATACCATCTGCAACAAGATCAACGTGATTACGCCCAGTTGGTTGTAGTTTGATTACCTTTCCAACTGCTTAAACTCTTGTTTGTGAAATGCCTGGCACGTATTAAAATCCAGCTTTGCGAGCTCGAGAAAGACTGGGTTGTTTACGAACGGCATTCTTTTAAAGGTAACGTTGGAGTCAGGCAGTGATCAAAGACAAGGAATTTAGTTCATCTACCTGTAGAGGCTCTTCCCGATCCAAACATCGTCTACTCCATACTGATCGATGTAGCTTCTCGTAGCGATTCGTTCCACAGTAGCATGGAAGGGGTTATCGAGCTCAAATTCAACCTGAGGAAAACAACAACTGAGATTCTCTTCATTAATCATCATACTCTTACCTCTCCGGGAAGATCTTTCGTTACAACCCACTTGTCATTGAGCTCTCCCTTCCGCCGTTTCTCATCCAGAAAACTCCTGGTGAATGCTCTCGCTTTTTGCAGAATCACGTCGCCTGGAAACATAACTTTCGTGGCTTTGTATAAATCGAGCATTCCTGTCACTGCTTCACTGACTTGCCCGACAAAGCAGAAGAACCCGTGCTCATTTTCATGCTGAAAGTGCTTGAAGACGTCTGCAAATTAAGTTGTCAGCCAGCCAAGTGTTTCTTCATGTATTTACCTGCAGAAACATCGTATCCGTGACTCCGTAGGACCATGAAGCCCATGGAAGTGTCGTCGCCGTCTTGAATAGGTGTACCTCTGGCCCATGATATTCCTTTATCAGTCCAATTTCTGTTCATTCACAATAAAAGATTGAATTTGTTTCGCAATTGTCTACGAGGTTAACCTGTAGACATAGTCAAGGGCATCTTTGATTTCTCGAGTGAAGTACCGAGCGATTCCCAACCTCTCTATGCGATCAACAATCCAGATGTGTTCAAATAAATCTACCGGGTACGTGTTTGGTACTGCTTTTGTTTGAAGACACTTTCTTAGAGTTTAGACTTTCATAGTTTTTTTTATCGAACCTGCATCTTTGTATCTCTCAAGAATGTTGTTGAGGTATTGCAGGCACTTCTCGTTTCCAGTGTACATGAGAGCACACGCCGTAGACGAGGGACTGGAAAGCAAAGAACCATCTGAACACTGCAGTTTTACAACTTTGTGCCAGTCAAGGCTCTTATGGAGTCCTTCGACCGAGTATAGCAGAGGCGTGGGATGGGTTTGGAGGACATCCAACGATATCCTAGGAGAACACTTGTAAGTGAAACAAAAAAACCAGGATCCACAAACCTCTGGAGCTTCTTCTCTCTCTCAGCATGGAACTTGTGCACGACTGGAGACGAGTAGTCGAGGTCCAGTCCCAGCTCCATAGCTTCATCTAGCATTGCCGGGAAGACGATCTCAAATCCTATCAGCATGTGTGCACTCTCCTCCGTCTCCAGCGCGGGCATTGTTCTCCGGATGAATTCAAGTCCTGCTTGAGAAAACTTTTAGACGATCATGACTTCTTTCTTCTCACCTTTTTCGATATGCTTCTCTTGTGTGTTCCAGATCTTGAGCGATATAACACATGCCAGTGTAGAACACACGCGCTCGTAGGTGAAGAACAAGTCTTTGTCACCCCAGGAGCCATCTTCGAACTGGTTTTTGATGATCCAGTCAAGACACATTGGAAACTGTGGTGAGTTGCTTCCATCGAGTGCAGGAACGCGTGCTACCCAAGCAGTATCATACGCAGATCTTGATATGTTTCCATCTCCCAGGGAGCGGAACATCGTTCGAACAGCGTCTACTAGTTCCAGTCGACGCTTTCGTTTTACATCCTCGCTGACAGTGGATCTAGTGATTCTCTCGAGCTTCTGTGACCACAAACATTTTGATAGAAGTGAAAAAGAAAATGTGTACGTACGTGCTGGCTTGATGAACTTTTTGCAGGATCAACTTCCGCGATACAAGATAAAATCGATGTTCTCAACCTTGTCTTTTGTGGTCCACTAAAAACTGGATTTGGTGGTGCGAACGTTGCATTCAAAGCTGTCGAGTAGCCGATGTTTGGTAATACCTTGCACATCAGCATGTTTGCAAACGATAGAGATGAGCAAAAAACCTGTGTCCAACAATTGGCTTTAAAGGCGAGAAAACGTTTTTCAGTCAAGTCTGGAGGACAATTGACCGACCAGAAGAAGTTCAATTGATAAACCATAAACGAGGTTTACATGTTCTTTCACGTCTTCATTAGCTCTACCGAAAAACTCGAATTCAAAATCTTTTGGTGAACCACTAGCATGACACGCTTGAAAACAACGCTATTAGTTTACACTGATTAGTTTCCCTTATTCTATTGTACCTCGAGCGCTCCGCGAGTCTCAGTGGAGCCGACGATGGCACCGACCAGCGCACCGCTGCTCTTCCTCTTCATTCTGAGTCCTCGTGGTCTTCTAAGTTGGCTTGCAAAAGAAATGTTGAGCTGCATATGAGCTTGCGTAGTTTTCTTCTCAAAGCTTTCCGGTTAAATAGTTTGTATGGATCACTATAACTCGTCCTCGAGAGATTTGCACTGCTGCTGTAGAGGTTTCTCCAAGATTTCGCCGTCGCAGCTCTTGTGGTCCCGCTCTTTATACTCTTGGTGACGCTCTTTATACTCTTGGTGGTCCAGCTTATGTGCACTTGCATTTCAGCTCCCCTTCCGAATTAGCGGAAGTATATGTAGCGCCCAACAACGATCAATGGGACGAGTCCGGTTGGAACGTTGGCTTCATCATTTTCCTCCTGGTGCTGCTAATCTGGTGGCAACCACTACTGCTGATAGATTGAGCTTACAAGAAGAAAAATATGCGTACTATCTTTAAAAACTTGAAAGTTCACCTCAAAAATCTTAGAAGCTCGCAATATGCATATAAAATCTCTTATAAGTAAGTTACTCCGGGCAAAAACTGCTGACTCGCTGGCTCAAAATGGAGCCTCGACTGGGCTGATCCCAAAATGCTTATGCCTTTGATCAACTTTGTTCACGAGGTTCAATCCCTGTTGTGTGAGCTGTGTAATAAGAGCGGTCTCCAACTGACAAGCCACACTCTTGTTGGACACTGGCAAGTATAAAAAAGGTGCCTGCTTTAGTCCCATAGACGTACGATGTGAAGCAATTCGTCCAGATAGATTATCCGTCTGTGGCAAAAAATAGGAAACTCCAATCAGCACAAACATGAGAAGAGAAATACTAATGGTACCTGTCCAACGTAAAACTTTCCGTCTGGTCTATGAAGAATGTAGACGCAAGAGTGATTCGAAGTGAAGGGTGGAGGTTGCTGGCGCGCGCCAACGAAATAACAAGTGCTAGAGAGAACGAAAGTTCCATTCAGCTGGTCCTTGCAGATCCTCAAAACTTCTTGTTCCAGATCCTTCAGATTTCTCGCACCTATAGCAACCAAATACGAATCCAAAGCAATGGCACATTCAAACCGAAGAACTCCGAACCTTGGATGCGTGGCACTGATGACGCAGCTGCGTTGCTGTCAAGAGTACTTTCATGGCGCACTTCATTACCGTCTACCATCGGCTTACTTTGCGAGAGATATTTCTTCTGCATCTCTTCGTATAATTCCCTGGCTCTGTCCAAAATCTCTTCCGTCACACCTTCCCCCTTCGCGGTCTCGAAAGCCAAGCTCTCCCTGCATTCTCCATCGATGAGCTCCCAGGTCGGTTGTAGCCCGCCTTGTAATACCTTTCTTGTCCCCATTGCTTTCAAGACGACATTGTTGGTGTCGAGCTTCATATCTAGAAGCCCATGAAGGTGAGTAGAGACAATTCCCAGGCAGCCGAGCCTGTCAAAATTCTCCAGAACACTGGCCAATATGCAAGTCCCTTTCTGTACGTCGGTTCCCTTGCAAAGCTCATCTACAAGGACAAGACTTCTCCGAGTTGTCTCAAGTAACAAAGTCTTCAACTCTGCCATTTCCATCTGCAGGGAACAGGTCAAGGTCTTTATCGAAGACCGGAAATGAATGCGACGTACCTGAAATAGGCTTTTGCCTTCCGAGGGACTATCTTGAGAAACCACTCTTAACATGATGGAGTCGAGCTGTGGGATGACAGCTTTAGATGCCGGAACCATAAGTCCACATAATCCCAACAAAGTAGCCGCGCAAACGGATCTCAGCAAACTCGACTTTCCTCCGCCGTTGGGACCCGTAAGAAGAAAAATAGAGCTCATTTCGAACGAGTTTGGTATTGCAAAATCCTGTGTTGAATCTAGCCAATATGGCAAGAGCCCAGAGAAAACAAGAGGCTCCTATCAAAGAATTGTCAGTTGACAGTTCAAAGAACGACGACATAGTACCTGTTCACCACCAAGAACAGGGAACACCCATTTGCGACGTTTTCCCTCACTAATCAAACGTAAAACGTCAGCAAATAGCAGCTATTCAAATAAAATACTGATACCTGGCATGCGCGAAAAAAGCTTTGGCTATCACACAGAACATGGAAATAAAAATTATTGTGTTCAGATACGTCCTTACATCGTCTGAAAGGCATCGGAGTGCCTTAACAACAGCAAAATTTGCTTTAGTTGCGGCTTCTCGGTAGCTGGAGGAAAAGTAATTAATATAAACTAGGAAAGAACAACTCCAAGCTGTACCTCATGACCGCAGATTCTACTCTTCCTGTGGTGTGCCAGTCATCTCCAACTTTTTTGCCTTTGGAGTCTAGCGCAGGAATCAAACGTTTTATTTCTTCCTCACCGGGTGTCTCAGAGCCCCACAGAAGTGGCATAAAACCCTTTCCCTTGAACCAGACCGCTTGATGGTCCGGAACGTAGCAGATTTCACCGTTGCCATTACCGTAGCAGGATCTTACTAAAGACTTTGCCCTTGCCAAAACCGGAAGAAAATCACCTACAATCTGAACAGTAACATTAAAAGCCAGACGCACACAAAAAAACTCACCGCTGAATTGAGTTCTGCAGCATTTCTGTCAACATCGGCATAAAAATCTTCAGAAAGTTTGCGTTGTACGCGACCTTTCCAGCTCGATTCAAAATCAATAAAGAAATCATCCGGAACATGTTCGTACGAATTAATGAGCTGCTCTGGATCGCCCGTACAAGAGATCACAGAACTGATTCTATCAACCAGCTGCTTACAATCAGTCACCTGATACAACATGTGTTAAACCAATGTCGTAAGGAAGCCGATGCTACGTACCAGTTGTTCAGCTTCCAATTGTAAACCACTTGCTAATATAGTGGGCTCAAGAAGCAAATGAAATATGTCTCTCAGACTGTCGTTCTCATGCATGTACAATACATCCTCTGCAAGATGTTTTATGCGCGAAAATTCAAGATGATTGACTTCCCTAGCTCCAATTAGTTTCACCAGCTGCAAAATTTGATGATTGAATTGAGTGAGATAAAAGTGCAATGAGTCATACCTTTGCAGCTGATACACATAAAAACTCCGGAATAGAGCATTTCACAGAAGTCATTAACTTTAGACACTCTGCAATGGAAGTATAGCAAAATTAATATAATGTAGTAGTCAGTTCTCACCTTGAATAGCCGCAGCTGTAGCGTAAGGCGGTGGATTTAATAACAGGTCTCGCAAATACCTATACAAAACAAGCACAAAGCTGATGCTAATTCACCTCACCAAAGGCATACTACCTGACGCAGAGACTGGTGGTGTCCGACGGTACAAGAACTTTTAGCAAGCTCGGAATTTCCGGCACCGGCAAAATGCCTGAAAGCACAAACATAACTTTCAAACAGCATTCAAAAAACAGCACTGACCAGCTTGAGAGGCTGTCCCCAGGTAAACTGGCCGAGGCCTTTTCAACGACGGTCTTGCAATTTCCCGAAATTCAGCTTGGTCCTCAATGTCATACATCTCCTTAACCTGAAAATGCCAAGGAATATGTGCTGAAAGTAAGCTAGTATATGCACCTTATCTAAGAGAAAGGAAACTGGATCCCGGTCAAACCACTCTACGTCTTTGCCTTTGCATTCTGCCCACAGGAGTGCTCCATCCCCAGAGGATCCCCATCTAACGCTTCCTGTATCATAATTATTACGGAAGGAACATAATAGAGATAACGAAGAAAAACCTGAGGAGTTTCCTCTTAGTGAGCGATGGAGAAAAAGCTGTTGATACTGCACTGATCGCAGTTTCGTGACAAGTGCTTCTTCGGTGAGTCCATCTTCGACAGTATACGTCCTCATCATTTCCAAAACAGAGACGAAAGTGTACCCGCGCACCGATTGAGAGATCCCTGATCCAAACAATTGCGAGTTAAATAGGAAAAATAAAGCTGCGTCAACAACGTTACCGACTACGGGGCATGGCTCTGGAAATTCAAAATCACTCTCTGCTGCGGCGAGGCCGTAAATGTACGGACTTCCTGGATGAGCATGGCTGCAACAGATAGCCATTAAGAAAAAAAGGAAAAGAAAAGAAAAACGAGGACATGGAAAACACACCCTGCAATAAATCTGTCTTTCCGATACTTTGATGGAGCAGCACCCTGAACCTCTTCCATTACACACTGCAAAAAAAACTCTCCATCACCAAATTGACCTGAAGGCTAAAAACTCACCACCGAAAGTCCTTGCTGGGTGATATTGTCAAGTGTCTGGCGCAAGTTCTATCAAGACATGCGTTGGATCGAACTTTGAATGCTTAGAATGTAGCATCATACCGCAATAGGGCAGCCTGCTCTTGGAGAAGCATTAGCGCGTATCCCACCCATTGGATTCAAGCCTGCAAACTCTACCAAAATGCAGGCGTCAAAACCGCACGCTTCATAAAACTCGCCAATCTGCACAAAACAGGCTAAGGCGATGGATCCATGTAAACAAAAAACGAGAAATATAGTTACTCTACACAGAAGAACTTCTCGAGGAAATTTTCTTTTAGCATCCAGTAGCTCAGCGTTCAGGCTTCCATCTCTTAAGCTGCAAGCACGAGAAAGTTGTAAAGGAAAACACGATAAACAAATCAATAAAACCTTCCATGACGCAAGTTGGGGTCGAGCCCGAGCAGATTAGTCGGAATCAAAAGCTTTATCATTTCTTTGGTAGTAGGCTTTTGACACAAGTTCATGCGCTGCAGAAAAGCACCAGAAAGAGCAACGTTAGAAGAGAACGAAAGATCTCGGAAAAAGAAGAAAGAAAAACTACTTCTTGCCACCAACAAATATGCTCCTTATCCCGATCATCAACCGGGACGTAGCTCTGCCTCCTTTTCATCTTCACAACGCTTCCACTCATCGTGCTTAGCTTCCCACAGCTCAATCTCCTGCCAAAGATCTTGTGATCATAGAAGAAAGGAAGGAAGAAAACATCCATATTTCCTTGTGCATACCTGGATGCATTGTCGATGGAGAAACCCTGAGATTGGAATCTCGAGGCAACAAGAAAATCCTGCCGCTGCAATCATCCCAAAATAAATCCCGCGACGCAAACATTGCTGGAACGAGCAAACGATCCAGAACTTACCGCCTGCCTCATCCGATGTAGCGCGCTCCACATCGGGATCGTGCGCGCCTTCCTCTCCCTTCCCGCCTCGTAGGGTTCTTTCTTGCTCTTCCAAGAACAACAACACTATTTCCAGGGTTTAAGGGGCAAAAGATTTTTGTTCGAAAGATATCGTGGCAAGAGAGAACTTTTATTTCCCCATGTCATAACATCCCAGGAAGATAGGGTTTTTGCGAAGAGGGAATGCCGAAGAGGACGACGCACACGTACTCTAGCGAAGACGCTGCTCCCGATGGCCCCGACTCCGACCTCTACGTCTACTACTGCAAGCATTGCGGCTCTCACGTACTCATCACAGGTAATCTCGCCGCGGCATTACGCTCTAGAGATCTATGGCTTTCGCGATACGTTCGCATTGCCCGCATTTGCTTCGTCTTTGCGCTGTCGATCGATCAGTCGCATTGCTCGCTCGCATTCGAATGGAATTTCTTTCACAGTGGCTAGCTCGCTTTGCGATTGGCATTACTCGTTTAGGTCCTTTCTCTCAACGAACGTCTTTGTAACTGTTTTTATTTTTGTGTTTTGTTTTGTTTTGTTTTTTTTTTTTTTTTTTTTGTTTGTGCTTAGATACTCAACTACAACGGATGCCCAAGAGAAAAACTGACAAGGCATACGTGCTTGATAAGTCTAAGCACATCGCGAGGCTCAACACGGTAGAAGCCGGGAAGCAAATCCTCAAAAGGTATTCTTTCTTTTTTCTTCAGTGCTAGACTTTGTTGTGACAGCGTTTTACAGGGGAGAAGGAAGAGCTGAGAAGCAGTATCGCATGAAATGCTCCGGCTGCGGCCTCTTCGTGTGTTACCGCGCGGAAGAAGATTTGCAAGCCGCGGAGTTGCTCTACGTGATTGATGGCTCGCTAAGTTCGGTGGCAGCGGAAACTAATCCACAGGTATGATCGTGTCCTGTGGCGATCAAAGTTCTCACCTGGGACGCTCTAGGACGCTCCTGTGCCGCCGTGCATATCGCAAACAGAAGGGGGTCTGGTGCAAGTAGCGATCGAAGTCGAGGACCGTGCTCAGCGATCTGCGATCACGAGTGAGTGTTTTCGTTTTCTTCCTTTTGAGTATCAGACCTCCTTTGGTGCCTGCTCCAGGAGTTAATGCTGATGATGTTCGTGTGACTGTTGCTGCTCCAGCCGCGAGAGGAGAGGCAAACAACGAACTTCTGGAGTACATGGCAAAGGTAAATCAAACCAAAAAACATTCGCTCGCTATTAAGCCAACTTGTAACAGGTCCTGAGCTTGCGAGCGACGCAAATGACGCTCCAGCGCGGCTGGAACAACAAATCCAAGCTACTCGTGGTGAGTATGATCTCCATCTCGTGCGAAATCCACCTAAAGGTTTCTGTGGCTTCTTTCATCGCTCTCCATTGATGTGCTGGGAGTGTGCCGCGCACCAACTTACAGGTGGAAGACCTCAGCGTCCGCGATGTCTATGAGAAACTCCTGGCCGCTGTACAGCCGAGCTAACCGGACCAAAGAGACAAACAGGTTCCTGTTCAGAACTCACGTCGGGTCTCGCAGCACAGTGGTGGCGAGAGGAAAGCATCTATTTCGCCGCTGAGAGACGACTGGATTCCTCGTCCATTGCTCCAGAAAACACGACGCTGGTTTATCCGATATCCGTGTGGAACCAACAGGGCCGCGGACAATTACGCGCTTCTACAGCTTTGACCATACAGGATCTGTTCCTATAAGAATCTTCCAGGCCCGAGGATCATGGAACTAGTCTTTAGAAGTTCGCAAAAAGAAGAGAGAAAAGCTCTAAGCGATCGAGTGTCCAGAGAAGTTCACAAAGGAAAGAGAGAAAAGTTTGAAGATATCAGGGAAGCGTTTTAGAAGAATGTGATGATCCTGGCTAGTGACGTCAATGTAGATATAGAGTATG